TATACCAAACAGATCAAAACTTAAGCCAACACAATAACCCTTTTTGACCGTTTTGATCTGCTTAGCTCTATTTAGATACTCCAATGAAAAAAGTGGGATCTGTAGGAATTGACAGGCAACTTTATCAGTCGTTTAACTCTTTTGGAGATCGAGTCCAGTGTGTTGCGATCGACAATGTTTACATGAAATATGATTTGATTTTTTGTTACACGTTAGTAGGAAGGTAGAAGACACATTCTCTAGCTAATATTTATCCACCACTCGGAAGAATTTTGAAATTTTTTTTCTCTTGAATTAACTCAAATTTCATTCACCATCATAGAATCGACTATGCTGATTGTAAATATTGCATTCCATCATTCCTGTACTCAAGATCTTGCTTACAAGATATTCCACTAGGGATGTTTATACCATGTTGTAGAACCTATATTTCCCATCAATGAACTAAAGTCTTTATCCTCCTGAGCTGAAGAAGAACAAGTTACTTAGTAACGTCATTGGCCATCAGTTCAAGGTAAGCACACATCTTACATCGAAGAAAGTATGACTATCTTACTTTTAGCTGAAAACGATGCTGAATTCACAAAATATATTAAATAAAAACATGTCTTTCATAAAAAGTCATCCAGAAGTCCGAATTTCCATTATCGTTCCCCATGTCCAGAACTGTCCATTTTTTTCTGGCTCCTTTAAAGTTGAACGTCGGCCCCTTTTGCACGACCTCTTAGATCCACTACAATTGATATTTGGATCGGAAGAAAATGAACTATTAATAATACAACTTTATAACCTCGCTTCAGAATCAGCGATTAGTTCAACGTGTAACAACTTAACAAGACATTTAAAAGAAAAACAAAAAGCAGTTATTAAAAAAGGTTGGCTGTTAAAAGTATTAGAAGTAGGCGCTGGAACAGGAGCATCAACATTACCGTTCTTAAATCACTTACTAGATTTTGCTAATCAAACACAAACAAGAATCGAATATATATTTACTGATATATCACCAGCATTTTTTATCAAAGCACAGAGAACATTCGATCAGTTATTAAATGAAAAAAATCAGCAGAATCTTGTACATATATCCTATCGAGTGTTAGACTTAAATGTTGTTGATATTAATAGCACTGTATTTAACAGTGAATTGTTTGATACAATACTTGATGTGTAATTCAAAGATAATACAATCCCCCGCTGTTGATCACCTTCTTATTGTGACCACCTTTTTAATGGTCGAAAAATGCCATTTTTCTAATATGTTTGAATATTTTGTGTAATATTTGAGCACTAAGAGTTTATTAAAATTTTATATATATTAGAAAACACGAATTTTTTATAGAGAGAGAGAGAGAGAGAGTGAGAGAGAAAGATGCATTTTTCTTCTAGTTCGCTTCCATGTTTTTTATTTCTTTTATTCATATCTTCCTCGGTTAATTTTTCTTCTCGAATTTTCATAACTTTTCGACAGTACGATATGTGTGAACAATATCACGCCCATAGTACCGCCGAAAATTCGAGAAGAAAAATTAACAAAGAAATAGAGCGAGGAAGATATGAACAAAGAAAAAAAACCCATAGAAGCGAACTAAAAGAAAAATGCATCTTTCTCTCTCCCTCTCTCTATACATATATACATATACATACATATTTATTTTCAGT